GTGTGTGTGTGTGTGTGTGTGTGTGTGTGTGTGTGTGTGTGTGTGTGTGAGAGAGTGAGTGAGTGAGATAGATAGACTTTATTTCAGACTCAGGGTCCATAGAGACAAATACATAAAAAGACAGACACAAACAATAAAAGTACGGCGGCCTAGCAATGCCTTACAAAGAGACAGCTGTACCAATGTCGCCACAGCTGGGACTGGTAGCGTGTGGTGCTGAACCTTATGTTGGTTGAAACAACTATGATCTCATTTTCAGAGTCATTAAGTCTACAATCTCTTTAGCAGTATTCTCATGACGTCATTGTAAGCTACTTGAAGTCTCTGGAAGCTCTTTTTTTTGTAGTTTGACCACAAGTGTGCAGTAGAGTGGTGTACAATATGCTCTGAACAGAGACATCGTCACTCCATCTGTACACATACCAAACCTGCGTGAGAGACTGTTTGCTTGTGCATACATCCTACGACATTGGCTAGAAATGTCGTTATCTTCGGTCATGTGTTCTGTTATAAAATGACCAAGATATTTTACTTCACCACAGACACCAAGATTATTGTCAGACAATTTGAAGTCAGGGAAGTTCAGATATTTGTCCTCTTTAGTTCGACAGATCAGGATATCACTCTTACTGGCGTTGTATTTGATGTCATGTTCCACACCATACACAGTACATATAGTGATGAGCTGCTGAAGACCAGCGCTACATGGACTAAAGATCACCAGATCATCTGCATACATGATGTGATTAACCAGAGTATTTCCAATCATGCACCCAGTATTACAGGCTTTCAGTTGCTTGGACAGATCATCAATATACAGATTAAACAGAATTAGGGACAAAATTCCCCCTTGTCGGACACCATTGCTAACCCCAAATGGGGCTGAGACACTTTTACCCCATTTTACTTCCATAGTCTGGTGCGCATACCAGTAAGCCAGAATTCTCACAATGTATGTGGGGACACCTCTTTGGCTCAGTTTGAAAAACAACTTACTATGCTTAACACGATCAAAAGCTTTGGAGGCATCAATAAAACACATAAGAACTGATGAGTTTTGACCTCTGTATTTGTTGACAATTTCCTTCAAGGCATAAACACAAGTCAGTGCCATGTTTGGCTTTAAAGCCGAACTGGTTATCTGTGGAGGTGATAAAGTCATGTATTCTGTCCAGCAGGATTCTTTCGAGGACTTTTGACAGTACGCTGGCCAAAGCAATGGGCCTGTAATTCTCTAGGCTACATACTTTACCAGCTTTGTCTTTAATGACTGACACTAAGAGAACAGACAGCATTGAGTCTGGTAACAAGCCGTGAATCATGAAGCCAGTAAAACAAATGGCGAGGAGAGGAGCTAACCTCGGACTAGCATATTTAAGGTGTTCAGCAGTGATATGGTCTAAACCACTTGCTTTGTCTTCAGACAGTTTATTTATAGCTTGGTGCACCTCATATGACGTAATTGCCATTGAGTCATTACTCTCAGAATTGTCCACGTTATACAAATCACTTTTGATACAGTTGAATAAGGTGCTATAATGCTGTCGCCATAACTCAGCAATGTTGTCTGTTCCTGAGATTCCATCTATAGTGCATGGTAAAGATGTTTTACAGTTAAGAGCTCTCACTTCTTTCCAAAAATCAACAACGTTGTTGCTTAGCAGCTTCTTGGCCATGGAGTCAGCCCTCATGGCTTGATCATTTTTGCAAATGAAGCGAATGGCATACTTACATCTAGCATTGGTGAGCTTCTTGTACTCAAGCACTGGCCCTTGTCTGGGTCTACCAGCTAGAGCCCATGATTTGAAAGCTTCACAGGCTTCAGCACGATACTGAGCTACATACTCGTTCCAGCCAGGTTTGATGTTATGGGTGTTATTTTGATGCTTGTAGTAGGGCTTACTGTCTTTATACAGAGCACTTACTATATCATTGTACATGAAGCAGAGATCTCTCCTATGCACCACATCCTTACAGTTAACGTCAGTACACATAGCTGCATCTCTAGGTAGATGAATATTACTGAAGGATTGGTCTGTACGAGCAGAATACACTAAGACGTCCTCTTCAGTGAGAGTTGACCAGTCAAGTTTTTCTGTGTTGACACTATTTCCATTTCTAGATAGCGCCGTAGATGTTCAACATTTAGAGAGAGAGAGAGAGAGAGAGAGAGAGAGAGAGAGAGGTTTAAAAAGAACTAAAGGATAAACTATTTTAAAATTGTATTGGAACTCAGAAAATAAATAAAATAAATAAGTCTCATAAGTTACGTTATGTCCCGTTACCGTTCAGACTTGCTGGGTTAAGTTAACGTCCACTGCATGCGGAACTTTGTAGACTGTTAACGTTCGTCATTATCACGATTTAGAAGGAAAAAACGTAACGTGATGAAACATGAAGCCCCCCCGCGTTCCGGTTCAGTTCACGCGGTCACTCGTTAACGTTAAACCAGAACACCGGCGGATCTGGTTGCAGGCTGTTTGTTTTAACTCAAAGTAGAATGAAAGGCCCAGATACTGATGAGATGATGAGGTCAAAGAGCTTCAGGGAGAGGAGGCTGTTTGTGTAGCGCAGCTTGACGCAGGGCTGAGCTGTGAGTGGAGCTGGGCCTGGATAAAGGTGGAGCTGGGCCTGGATAAAGGTGGAGCTGGGCCTGGATAAAGGTGGAGGTCTAAACAGACGTGAGTACAGCTTCCTGCTGTCAGTGTTTTAAATACATTGATAAGGCAGGGTATGCTAAATGTAGCCTCTGCTCCAATGAGATGAACTAAAGCAACAAGGGCTCACATGTCCTCTCATCACACTGTCCACACTGTTCACTGTGATGACCACAGCCAGTGGACCAACAGTCCCAACAGTCCCACATGCTGTTAAATCACAGCTATTATTTTACTTTTAGAATGCTACATTTTAAAGCTCATATTTAAAATAAAATGTTTTTATTTTACATTTTGTTTAGTTTTGCACAGGTTGCACGTTATTGTTGTTTTGAAAAGATATGCAGTGTAAAACTCAGTAAAACTCTTTATTGCCAAATATTTGAACTTGTTTAGTTTTTCACAGGTTGCAGTTTATTGTTTTTATCTTAGAAAGATATTCAGTGCAAAACAGGTGAATTGCAGCCACAATAAGCTATTTTTTGTGGGTGGTGGGGCATGAACATTTTTCTTCCTCCAAAGTGGGGCGTGACAAAAAAAGTTTGAGAACCACTGCGTTAATGACGCAGCTGATGTTTACCTCTGTCCATGTGGGCGGGTTTAGGGGGGTCTGGTTGGGTGCACTCAGCTTTGATTGGCTGATTCTGAGCTCCACTGCTTCTACCTGAGAGAAGAACAATTCATCAGAATCAGCCAACGGACGAGTCACAATCTATCAGAAACCAAGAACGTAAACGACAGAGAACCAAATCAATGACGAGGATCGATGATGACCGAGTCTCATCCCTAAACTTAAACATCATGTGACTTACTGTCTGTTTTCTTCTTCGCTGGTGGATGGGAGGATGAAGGTTCTGCCTTCATCTTCCTCTCCTCGTCCCCTTCCTCAGCTCCTTCCTTCTTCCCTGATGTCACCTTCTCCTCCCCTTCCTCCTCCTCCTCCTCTTCTTCCTCTTCTTCCTCTCTCTCTCCACCTTCCTCCTCCTCCTCCTCGCTCTCCCCTTCCTCCTCCTCCTCCTCCTCCTCGCTCTCTCCTTCCTCCCATCCCTCGCTTCCCACCGCACTCTTCTCAGATCTGGACTTCTGTGTCACCACAAACAAAAACAAACAAACAAACAGTTGAGATCATTGCCTGCTGATTGGTGAGGTCGATCAGATGAGACCCAATGAGAGTGTTTCTTACTTCCTGGAAAGGTTTCACCTTCGTGGGCTTCACAGTCAGAACCACACCGTCATAGAACCGCACTGTGTAGGAGTCTGACACACACACACACACACACACACACACACACACACACACACA